AAGAAAACAGGTAACCATGCGTAGCTGTTAAGAATTAAGGATGAAGAAGCAACGCTATCCCATGTGAGAACACAAATCGAAAAGATAACTGGCAGCCTTCTGAATAAAGTTATAAAGAACAGATCATCAAAATGAATAGGAATAATTGAATTTTAAAATAACCCATTGGAAATTTCTCATCTCTTGCGCAACATCAGAAAGGAAAAACTGGTAAGCGTCCAATTTACCCTCTTTTGTAAGTAATCAGCTGTATCTTAGACCAGTATGAACGTATCAGGTTAAATTCATCTCTTCAGTCAGGTCAAATGCATATAATTTGCATTGGCATTAAAGAAAATTAAAAAATTTCTTAAGGAATTACTTCCTCATGGCTTTATTCAATCAAAGGAACCATTGATTAACAAGCATAGTTTAATTCATATCCACTAAAAAAAAAAATGGCGAGAGTTCAATTGGCATTGGAGCTGTGGGTAAGTAAAAGCAACGTTAGAAAAAATTGGAGTGTTTTCATCACAAAATTAAAGACTTGAGTACCAAATAGAAATGGTGAAGACCACTTGCAAACCCTAAATTAACACCTCCATAATTCTACAGGTCAATAACAGCGATGAACATGAACGTTGAACATAGCCATCAAACCACACAAACATGTCTAGATAAGCTTCAAACCGTCACAGGAATCAAAGAGAGAATCATGGATTTGCAACCATTGTCAGGTGCTCCATAGCGGTAGACATACCCTGTTGTAGCTGCTATTGCGGTGGTTGAGAAGATCATATACATCTCAAGTTGGAAATTCAAACCCATACTGTATTATCTTCCATCATATATATCGACCAGAATCATGAATTTGAAGAAATTGAGTCGTGCATACCCAATGCTTGACGAACAGGACCTAGGCTTGGGCAAAGCAAAGCCATGCTCTGACAAGAAGCGTCAGTTTTCTCAGATGCTACATTAAGAAAAAAAATAAAATAAAAGCAAGAACAGAGTAAAAGCACATGGCCTTGAAGGTTAACTGATTTTTTTATTTTTTTTTTGCAAAAGGGAAATGTCATTGAAGTTAAGAATGATAAATCATGATCCGATAGACAAAACAATCATCCAAATCATGGGAGAAACAAGCCTTACAAAAGAAAGGAAAAAAAAAAAAAATCAAAAGTAACAAAATGGTCTTCCATTGATGTGCCATACTTGACAAGTGTATCGGTCACCCCATTAACTTTATAATAAGTAGGAGTAAATAATACTTCATCAAATTTGACGATCAATGATATGCAAAGAGCACTCTTTAGTTTTAGATATTGGGTTCAAATTCTCCTCTCTTAAATTTGTATTTGTTCAACAAAAAAAAAAAAAGGGGAGGGAGGTCTAAAATGTTACTTATTTTATCTCAAAATTATTATTTTTTTAATTTTTTTTAAATTTAAGATTTAAGAACAATTCATATATTTATTTATATTACCTTTAGAAAAACTTTATAAAAATTCAAATTTTTTGTGATAAAATAAATAAATAATATAATTTAACTAAGAAAAAATTTTATCTTAAAAAATAAAAAATTGATAATTAATTTAAAACAAATTTAAAATTAAAAAACTAATTATTTTAAAATAAAGAGAGTATAAAAAAGTAAAAAGATTTGAACCCACTCTTTTTTTTTCCCTAATAATCTCATATGCAGCAAAGTTTTCATGTTTCACCCAAAGGACTAAGAGCCCAATTGTCCTTTTACGAACTTAAATTGAGTGCACAACCGCACATCACTTGAGCTCTAACCCAATTACCAATTTGAAAGAGTTTGGGAATTTATGTCATAAATAAATAAATAAATAGCAAGTAAGCGCAGTTATGTACATTTTTTAGTGAAATAAAAGATAAGTCATATGAGACTTTTATGTGGCTACGAGATATTTGGGCAATCAAATGGGCCAGAGTCTATTTTTAGTTAGGCTAAAAAGGTGTTGCATTTGGGTAGATTTTTTAAATTTTAAAGTGGTTTTAATTTTTTAATCATCTAAAAATTTTAAAAAAATAATTACAGAATTAACGCTAACCTTGCACTGTAATATCATTTTAACATTTATAATTGGGGAACCTTTTGGCTTAATTTCCTTTAGTGAATATTACAGATAATTAATTGAGATTAATGTATTTTAATTTGAACTACACATTAAAAAAAGGACAATTTTAATACTAAAATTATTAAGTTATTTTTAATGAATTTATATAAAAAAGTATTATTAAAGATATTTTAATAATTATAGTAGTCAGATTATACTTTAATAATACGTTTAAATTGAAAAAAATGAAGAGAATAGAAGAGGAGGTGAAAAAATGTTTTATTTAATTATAAAAAATTTAGAAGAGTAGAGAGGAAATTTTTTTTTTTTTAATTTAATTATGTATCTAGATGAAGAAGATGGAGGAGAAATGGAGAATGGATCCTTCTATTTCCCTCCTTTCACTTTCTTTTTCTTTCCCTTTCCTTTATTTTCATCAATCCAAATATAAAGTAAAAGTGCACTTCAACTTAAAAAACACTCTTTTTTTTCTAATTAATTTACCATTACAGAATCAAACACTGAGAATACAACAAATCTATTTTGACGGTTCTATGTAAAATTTATCATTTAAATCCTCACAACATGTATTCATTTGAAAATCATAACGATGAATTCTTCCGATTCTGAGAATTTGTTGTAAGAATTACTGCAAGGAATCCAAAAACTGCCACTGACTTTACGACGGAGACACACATACACGTTGCACAATCTGCATCATCATCGATCATTTCTTCTTATTCTTCTTCATTTTCCTAATTTCCTTCTAAACAGAAATTTGTCTATATTTGTTTGCAGCCATGATCGTCAGAACCAGCAACAAAATGAATGAAATGCAACCAAAGACAGTGGAAAGCGTCACCCTGAAGCAGAACTTGGTCAGATTATCACAGATTGGCATCCATCCGGCGTGGCTGTTTCCATTGCGACCCACCAACCCGACTGCAGTTGCGGCAGAAATACTTGAAAGCACCAGCAACATCGTGAACTGTAAAACCCAAAATCCATATCATATAAACTTTTCCCCCTCTACCTTCCCTTTTTCTTCTTCTCTGCTTTCACCCCTTTTTCCTTTTATTATATATATATATATATATATATATAAAATGATAACAAAAATCTGATTTGCAATCTGAACAGAAAAACAATTACTTTTAAATACTAATAATTTATTAATTCGAGTGGAAGGAATTCAGTTTTTCTTAAGTAAAATCTAAAATTCCAGTCTTATGAATGAAAAAACAGCAAATGGAAAACAGCACATTAGGAGAGTTTTCCAAATGAGATCCGACGTGATTAGATTCCAGATTAATCAAATTTAACGTGGTTATCGAATACCAGAAGATTAGTAAAAAAAAATAATTATTTTTAAATTGGAGAAAACTCCTGATATCGTACTCTTCTCTTCCATTTAAGCGTTTTGATTTTGTAGTTTAATTTATATCAGACTACAAAATAGAGAGCCTAAATACAAAATCGTGAATTTGAAGAGATTTAACCATACCAGATCATGGAGGAACAAGATGAAGAAACAAGTTGGGGATAATCCTATACGACCAAAGATGAAGAATAACAACAAGGATGCTGCGATGAAGGCGCATGCAATGCCATTTGCACAAGCATAAAACCTAAAATAGTAAAACATTAGTAATATAAAAATACAAAATATGAATGATTTATTTTTTACCAGATCTGTACCATGTAACATTAGGAAAAATCCCAAAACAATTCAATATCTTAGATTTATTTTGATTTTTTCTTCTAGTACTTACTTGAAAGCAGGCATATAGCTGTATTTTGCCTCAAATGACAACCCAAAAACAATAGCAATTTCCTTGCTGGTCATCATCAACCATATGGCTGCCATTGTTGTTCCAATCGCCACAGTTCTCAAGAGAACCTGTACTCCAAAGTGATGCTTCTGTGTTTTCAGAGGGCTCTCCATTATGTGTAGGTAGAAAAAAACAGAGGCGAAAACAGGAAAGATAGAAAAAGTAGAAAAGAAAGAGAATGGATATATATGAAGAATATGAAGTGATGAAAGGTACATTTATAAAGAAAAAAAAATGTGATGTGTTTGTTGATCTAGTTAAGTGCCACAAAATGTGGGTTCGGAGCTTTTAATTAACTTCGAGTCAAAAGCACTTGATATAGCTATGTTGCTAAATTCTCGTTAAATTTTCATAGATATAGGCTCCACATTCGGCTAGGAAAAGGTCAAGCAGAGATGAGGTGAAATTTTCTCTAAAAAGTACTAGAAACAACGGATTTTTTTTCATTTTTGTTTACATATATATTACATGAGTTATACCATAGAAGTCCTCTATTTTTTTAAATCTTGTCACTACCTTTTTTTACTATATATTTAAATTATGATATCTTTGAATTCGAATCTTAATCTTTTACTAATTAATACATCACTTAACAAGTTTTTGAGTTTTGGTTACTCCTATGTCTTTTGTGCCTTTTATTTTGATAGACGAAACAAAATTGAACGGAGGGGCTGATTTGAAAGTTGTAACTGATTTTCTTTTTCTTGAGTAATTAATTCTTTTGAAGATTTTCCTGAGATCCAAACAAGGATTCTTAAAGATATGAAACTAACTTTTTACGTCATATTGTATATAATGACATCTGATAGAAAAACTGAGATAAATGGTTACTGTTACAAGATTCCTCACAGGTAAGTCTTGGTGAGTTCTTTGAAATTTATTTATTTATTGGGTAAACTATACTAATGGTCACTCATCTATATCATAATTTTTAATTTAGTCACTGTCATTTCAAACCTGTAAATTTAGTCATTGATCTTTCTTTTCATATGCTGCCGTCCATCGCCTTTGTTATCTCTTACAAACTCTGTTAAATGATGACATAGATGATAATGTGGTATGATGACATGGGATTTATTGAAACAAAATTACAATTTAGCTAAAAAAACCAATAGGTGACAAGGAAAAAAATAACATAGTTGTAGTAGTATGTTTTAATTCTTGAAAATGTGATGATCACATGGAATTAAGAATCAAAGTAGTTAAAGATTTGTTATGAAAAGAAAGAGAGAGGTGGCTAAAAATTTAATATAGAAATAAATAAATAAATAAATTTACTGGTAGATTTGTTATGATAAGGGCATAATAATAGAGCAAAGACAATCACGTGATTCATGTGATGAGATTTTATATATTTTAAACTAATTACAATAATAACAAGAAATTTATGAGTTTAAGTATACAAAATGTATATAGAAAGACAAATGGTTTTAAAGACAGAGTTAGAAAAGTTCAGGGGGGGTTAAGCCGGATTTGGACATGAAACTATTATTAATTTATTCAGATTTACCGAAAGTAAAGGAGTGGTTATTGTTGCTGTCTAATGGCAAAATCATTTCATAAGCCCTTAAACTTACCCTATTTCAGCATATAAGCCCCTAGGCTTAAAAAAAGGCAATTAATTTCCTAAACCTCGCAAGTGTAGCAAATTGGCCTTTTGTTAACAAATACTGTTATTACTATTAGTTTCTGTTAAATTCAATTAATGTGAAAATTTAAAGGAATGTTTGACATTAATGCAATAATGTGACAATTAAATAAAATTAATAACCAAAATTAAAATTATTTATTTTCTTTTAATTGTTAGATCAATGTACATTAATGACAGCCATTTCTTTTATTTGGCTAAAATTAACAAAAACTAACTGTAGTCATTAATGAAGGGCTAATTTACTCCTATTGCATTGCTTTAGGGCTTATTTAATTGTTTCTTAATTTGGCAACATATCTGCTAAAATAGGATAAGTTTGAGGGCATAAAAAATGGTTTTACCTTGTCTAATCGCAGCTGAGATTTGAACATAAAACTATTATCAATTTATTCAAACTTTATGAAATGAAAAGAAGTAATATTAGATAGAGTTCAATGTTTGTTCATCTTACCTATAAAAAATTAGGAAGAAAAAATATAAAAAATATCTTAATTCATATTTTAAAAATATAATATTTTAATTTTTTTCAATAAGTATTTATTAAAATGATATAATATAAAAAATATCTTAATTCATATTTTAAAAATATAACATTTTAATTTTTTTCAATAAGTATTTATTAAAATGATATAATTTTAAAATAATAT